GGCAAAGCTGTGATGGAACATAACATGCAAGCCAAGTTAATGCAGTTCTTAATGGGTTTGAATGATAGCTATGAGCATGTTAAGTGTTGCAAGTATTTTTACCGGAGATAAATCAAAAGATTCGAACACCGGGTCGTATCTCAAGGAAGGTCAGCCGGATTATATGTATGGATATTCTATCACACGAAAAAGCAAATAAATTCCTAAACACTCTAATTCAATGATTTTGGTTTTTAATTATCAACTACTAATTTTCGAACAACGCAAATAAACAATTATCAAAACTTAAAACGAGTTCCTTCTACGTACGAAGGCTAGGGAATCGGGGATGATTATACTCAAATCAAATTCAAATGCCGAGTAGAATACGTTCGGCTAAATGATTCAATTGACTTACGCATCTAGCAATTATTCCTCAATAACATCTCGTAACAAGAAGAAAAATATAGACGGCAAATCAACCCAATCAATTAACACGTAGGCAATACAATTACGAACAAGCCTACTCTAGACGAGCCTAGATCGACCAACTTCTCCCCTTTCGGTTCTACAAGTCGATTAATTAAATCAGAATGGTGATCAAGCATCTAACCCTAGGTTTAAATCAACTCGAATAGATTGAACGAAATTCATCAGCACAATAAGCACACGAGTATGAGTAATCACCCCCTATCCCTAGCTTAAAGATTTAGCCACTCATGCTGAAACGAACACCAAATATTGTATACAGTAAATATTCCAAACTCATAGTCAAATGAGAAGAAAACTTACGATAGATAAATAAAGAGTGTCAATCTCAAGCACAGTCTGAATCTACGATCAAAATCCTTGGGTGTCACTCCCAAAAATCTCAAAAATAAGCAAAAGATGAAGAGAACAAGTTTTGGTCTGATAAAACGAGAGAGAAAAAGAAAAGTTCCGAATGATTCTCAAAACCCTCGCGATCCCCTTTTAACGCGAACAGTTTTCAAAATTTAAAAGATTCAGCGCCGCGGCGTGAGGCTCCACCGCGGCGTGGAGCGCGGCTACAGCACGGCGTGGTGCTTCCTCGCGGCGCGACAGAGGTCTCGTGATAGTCTTCAGTTGGGGTCTCGGTGACATCGCGGCGCGGAGGACTTCTATGGCGCGGCGCGGCGCGGCAGGATAGACACGGCGCGGAGGACTCCTTTGGCGCGGCGCGGCAAGATAGACACGGCGCGGCGGGGTAGGGTGTCGCGGCGCGGGACCTCATCACGGCGCGAGGCTGGAACGTCTGAAGCTGCAGTCCACCTCGTGGCAACATCGCGGCGCGGCGATCATCTTCTTCACGGCGTGGAGCTTCGGACGCGGCGCGGCAGTCTGGGTAGTGTGCTCACCTTTACTTCTTGGATCCGTTCGAGGTCATTTGGACTCGGAATTTGATTCTGCCTTCCATTGTGTATTGCCAACAAGACGCTCTACTCACTTAGCTCTTCCGATTCCATTATCGTGAAAAATAGATCTTCTCGAACCTTCTATCCTGCACACCAAAAATGAGAAATACCGGAAAACTACCAAAAACGACGCAAGAAAGCCAAACGAGAACAAGACGAATAATAAACTACAAAACTAATAAAAACTAACGAAAGGGGCTAAAACAGGGGAAAAAGAAATAAGAAATAAGAAGGAAAAACGCAACAAAAATGGGACAAACAACTCCCCCACACTAAAACCTTTGTTCGTCCCGAACAAAAAGAAAAGAAAAGAAGAACACGCAAACGAGCAAGTACACTGGCTTCAAAACAAGAAAAATCTCAAATTGATCGACTAGGTTAGAAAGAATTCCGATGACCTCGAGAACACACCTTGACAATAAACTCAATCACATGATAACACAACCTCTCTAGTAAGGAGATATGATATAAATGCCTCACTCATTTTCTTGCAAAAATAAAAGACAGGAGCACTCAAATTGGTCGTCAGTTAGATCGATCATACGCTTGCCTATTGTCTAACCCCTACTCTAAATCAATTAAATAAATGAGACAGTGAATCAAAAGGACTTTTATGGACGTAATACAGGCTGAACGGGTCGGGTAAGATAAATATCGGTCAAATGGCTCAAATATAGAATATATCACAACTCAGCACTTCAACCATAATCAACAACTCATCCGGCTTCAACCGGTTTTTCAACCTCCACCCAAGCCAACATACTTCCACATTTTTTTTTTTTTTTAACCTTATGGACATCTTATCTAGGTTTAGCCATCGGGTTTCCTGCCCGAGTCTCCTAGACCGGTTTCCCGTACTCATTGCTCTTGACCGGTAATTGAACGGTTGGAGCACTTAGAGTATAATCCGTTAGGTTTTTTTCGACAATCATCACAAATCCGCTTTTCGAACATTATCAACACGGGGTCAACAATAAAAATGAGAAGTAAGGCTCAAAGGGCTAGCGGAAATTATTCTCAAAAGAAGAAAAAGGATACACAAATAGCAAAGAATGCCTTATCATGTTCACCTATCACAAATCTAATCAACTTATTTCGCAGCAGACTCAAAGCAAGTTCTGATTTATTCAACATTCAGACCAATATCGCACAAAAAGTGAATATGGCTCAAATCTCACCGGGTGTATATGTATGAGTGTTACTCAAAACAACCAAGCCACATCAAAATATGTCACTCGAGATCATCATCACATCTTTCCAACGTCATCAAACAATCATTAACCAATCCTGAATTTCACCAATGTCCAAACTCGAAGAGCAAATAAACTCAAAACTAGACTAGCCCACCAAGTAAAAGACAAGAAAGGACCCAAAAGAAAAATAAACCTAGAACTAGACTGATCAACCATGTAGCCACATATACATGCAAAAACTCCCCCACACTTAAAATCAGACAATGTCCCCATTGTCGATCCGTAGTGAAGGAGAGTTGAACCACACAATCAACCGATGCAAAAGAAATAAGCTGTACCAAACAAAAGAGAAAGAGAAGGGAGACGTACAAAGCACAGTGAGAAATCACTGTGCGTCCGACGGTGGCGGTTGAGGTAAAGGAGGTTGGTCCGCACCCGAACTCCACCGGGTGTCCCACCGCTGAAACTGATCGTTCCACTGGTTCCACTGGGCAAACTGCTTCTGTTCCCAATCATCCCAACGGGACTCGTGCTTTGCATGCGTCTCGTCCCACTGGTCCCAACGTTTGTCATTATTCGCAATGTAGGCCTCCACCCGAGCATTGTGCGAACTAACCTCGGCATGGATGGTTCGCAGGTACTCCTCCTGGCGAGTCTGATACTCATTTTGTCGTTTCTGATACTCGACGAACCACGCAGGCGCCTGCTCGTCAGGGGCATAGTCGATATGGGTGGGTTCTGCTTCGTCTCCCGAAGCATGCTCGATCTGTTCGGCATTGTCGTCGGCCACCTGTCGGGAAGGGCCCCCTGAGGCTTGCTTCGACAAAGCTGCTTCGGCTGCTACGCGCTCCATCTCCTTCACGTAAGCCTTGTAGCATTTTCGTTCGGTATAGGGCTGGAAATGGAAATGCTTGTCCAGAAAACCCCCAAACTTAAGCTCGATATAGCCGATGGCCATCGGACCAATGCCCTCCTCAAGAAAAGTTAGAATCTTGAAGTAAATGGCGAGGTCTGTTACCACATGACTCAAGGTAGGGGAGCTCACTGTTTTCCGGCGTACGTCGATAAGAGCTTGCTTGAAGAAATTGAGAAGGCACACCGGTTTCTGTTCGCGCATAGCCCAAAGAACAAACAGCTCTTGTTCGCTTACCTTGTTCGCCTCTTTTTTTCCAAAGATGTTGTAGGAGAGGAATTTATGTACGACCGCAATGGGAAGGTCTTTGATTAGCCCCGCTGATGGTCCGGCTTTATTGAAAGATTTGCATGGTGAGAAAGAGGCCCAATGGCGGTCAGTCTGGAAATCTCCCGGTTTCTTGCGAGCACCTGTTGTCTTCAAACCGTAAATATCACAGAGAACTTTATCCGTAATTTTGACCTCCTTCCCATCTAGGCGACAAGTGAGGTAGTTGCCATTATCGTGCATCTCAATTGTGCTAAAACATTCGAGGGTGAGTGACCGGAAAGCGGCTAAATTATCTAAATTCGCATACTTCTCCAAGTGAAGGACTTTCAAGTAGCTCCGGACTTGCTCGTCGATTTTAAGGGCTTTCAGTGCCGCCCAATCGAGAACCCGTGGATTAGGCACAGTTCGAGCGGCAAGTCGCTTGTACGCGGCCACTTCTGAGTCGTTAAAAACCGGAAACGGAATGCCATGAGTTCGAGCTAACGGAGTGGTCTCTTCCGCCGCATCGGAATCCGAGTGGTTCGATGGCTCGGGTGGAGCGACGACGATGGCCTTCCCTTTATCTTTGCTCGTGGAAGGGCCCGCATTCCTTGTTTTCACCATATTGGAATTGCAGTTCTCACGCACAATTCACCGAACACCTTGAGTGCAAGAAGAGGACTTGGGAAGGAATTGAGCTTTTGAACAAAAAGAAACCCCAAATAATTCCAACTTCAATTCAATGCTTCACGATCCGACTCAAACAACTCGAATTCGGCACAGAATAACAAGAATATCGATTACCCAGGCGTCACAACACGAATATGCTATGAAGAACCTCGAAAAAGTCAAGGGCCCGTGTGGTGCGGCTATGAACTGCTGTGGGTGAACGGATGTGCTCGCTGGTCGGAGATGATGCCGGCGAGATGAGTTGACCGAAACGCGAACAAGGGAGATGGTGGGGACGCTGCGTGGTTGGAGGCAGTTGTGGTGAGATTAGGGCTGAGGTGCGAGGTTAAGAGAGCGGCCGAGTTCGCGAGAGAGAGAGATCTGGTTCGTCGGAGGTGGAGAGTCGCCGGAGGTGGAGAGTCGCCGGAGGTGGGGTGGCCGGTAATCGCGAGGTGGCCGGAGGTGTTGATGTGGAAGGTTGAAGATGAGAGGTGGCGTCGAGGGTGTTGCGAGAGCAGGAATGAGGTTGCGTCGGTATTTATAAAATGAGGGTGTCGCGGCGTCTTAACGTACCGCGCCGCGAAGAGTTCTTTTGCCGCGGCGTGAGGCGTGCCGCGGCGCGACGTCTTGAGTTCCCAAACCCGCAGTTCGGATCGCGGTAGTCTCGCGGCGCGACGAAGGAAGATGCCCCGCGGCGCGGTAGCGGACGCGGCGCGACGCGAATTGAAGGTCGAATCTGCAGTTCAGGTCGCGGTGGTCCCGCGGCGCGACGAAAGAAGATGTCCCGCGGCGCGATGTTTTCCGCGGCGCGACGCGCTGCAACTTTGAATCCCGCAGTCCAGGTCGCGGTAACCCCGTGGCGCGATACCTGGAAACAATTCAGTCTTTTTTTTTTTTTTTTTTTTTTNAAAAGAAAGATAAACACATATAGATATAGATATACATAAAAAGTACAAATAATTTGCTCAATTTTAAGCCGAGAGCTCGGCCCAATTTTGGATCAAGGATACACGGCATCGCCGAGACCGATGGTCTCGACATGGTATTTCCCGAATTCGCTCTCAAAGTAAGGCTTTACCCTATGCCCGTTGACCACAAACAATTCACCATTCGCCGGATTTCGAAGTCGGACTGCTCCGAAAGATAACACTTCGTCAATGATATACGGTCCGCTCCACTGGGACTTAAGCTTTCCCGGGAATAGACGAAGTCGGGAGTTGAATAAGAGAACTTTCATATCGGGCACCAGGTTCTTACGGATAATGGTCTAGTCGTGAAGCTTTTTGACCTTGTCTTTGTAAATTTTAGAGTTCTCGTAAGCCTCGTTCCTCAACTCCTCAAGTTCCGACAGTTGCCACATCCGCTCACGTCCGGCTGCATCAAGATCAAAATTCATCCGCTTTATCGCCCAAAAAGCTTTGTGCTCGATTTCGACTGGAAGGTGGCACGCCTTCCCGTAGACTAGCCGGAACGGGCTCATCCCTAAGACTCCCTTGTAAGCTGTGCGTTGGGCCCATAATGCATCATCAAGACGACTGGACCAATCTTTCCTGGACGAGTTCACCGTCTTCTCAAGGATGGTCTTGATTTGCTTGTTGCTCGTCTCTGCTTGGCCCGAAGTTTGCGGATGGTATGGGGTGGCCACTTTGTGTGAGATCCCGTATTTCTTCATTAGCTTCTCGAAAACCCGATTGCAAAAATGTTTGCCTCCATCACTCACTATGGCTCGTGGGAATCCAAATCTGCTCAAGATATTACCTTGCAAAAACTTAATGACCACATTAGCATCACACGTCCTTGTGGGGATAGCTTCAACCCACTTGGACACGTAATCTACAGCAAGAAGAATGTACTCAAAACCAAAAGATTTGGGAAATGGTCCCATAAAGTCAATGCCCCACACATCAAATATTTCTACTTGCAAGTTATTCACAAGGGGCATCTCATTCCTTGGGCCTATATTCCCAATCTTTTGACAGCGGTCACAAGATTTGCAAAAATTATGAGCATCTTTAAAAAGAGAAGGCCAAAATAAACCTGACTGGAGAACCTTAAATGCGGTCTTTCGACCTCCAAAATGTCCTCCACAGTGAAGCTCGTGGCAAAAGACCAGGACATCCAATTGCTCTTCTTCGGGCACACACCTCCGAAGGATCTCATCCTTTCCCACCTTGAAAAGAAATGGATCGTCCCAAAAGTAACTCCTGCACATCAACACAAAACGCTTCCTCTCTTGGGAAGAGAGGTTAGACAACAGGACTCCATCTGATAGATAATTTACAATGTCTGCATACCAAGGGACACTAACTACTTCACTCACATGCTCATATGGGAAACTATCATTTATGTCAACATGTTCATGCAAGGTAGGTGAATGCTCAGTAGGGACAATGCGAGATAGATGATCAGCGACCACGTTTTCACACCCTTTCCTATCACGAATTTCTACATCGAACTCTTGCAACAAAAGAATCCACCGAATAAGCCTAGGTTTCGATTGTGTTTTACTCAAAAGATACCTAAGGGCTGCATGGTATGAATGCACAATTACTTTAGACCCTAAGATATAAGACCTAAATTTTTCAAGAGAAAACACAACAGCCAAAAGTTCTTTCTCAGTGGTAGTATAATTCAATTGGGCACCATTGAGAGTTAAACTAGCATAATAAATCACACGAAGCAATTTATCGACTCGTTGGCCCAAAACGGCCCCAACAGCAAGGTTCGAAGCATCACACATAATCTCAAAAGGCAACGACCAATCAGGAGCTATTACAATGGGTGCAGTCACAAGCTTATTCTTTAACTTATCAAAGGCATCAATACATGCATTATCAAACACAAATGGCACATCATTAGCAAGCAAGTGACACAAGGGCTGACTAATTTTCGAAAAATCTTTGATAAATCTCCTATAAAAGCCAGCATGACCCAAAAAACTTCTAACTCCCTTAACATTCATAGGAGGAGGGAGTTTTTCAATAACATCAATCTTAGCCTTATCAACCTCAATACCACGATTAGACACCACATGGCCTAACACAACTCCACTAGTCACCATAAAATGACTCTTCTCCCAACTCAAGGTCAAATTAGACTCAACACACCTTTCAAGCACACGAGATAAATTATGGAGACAATCAGAAAATGAAGTACCAAAAATAGAGAAGTCATCCATAAATACCTGTAAGCAGTCCTCGAGCATGTCGGAGAAAATGGAGAACATGCACCGTTTGAAGGTCCCGGGAGCATTGCACAGGCCAAAGGGCATACGTCTGAAAGCAAAGGTGCCGAATGGGCACGTGAAAGTTGTTTTGGGCTGATCCTCCGGAGCTATGGCCACTTGGTAGTAGCCCGAGAGACCGTCGAGGAAACAATAGAATTGGTGGCCTGAGAGACGGTCGAGAATCTGATCAATGAACGGCAACGGAAAGTGGTCCTTCTTTGTTACGGCGTTGAGTCGCCGGTAATCAATGCACATTCTCCACCCGGTAGTGATACGGGTGGGGACCATCTCTTTCTTCTCGTTCTCGATGACGGTGATGCCACCTTTCTTAGGCACCACATGGATCGGGCTGACCCACTCGCTGTCGGCCACTGGATAGATGAGTCCTTCGGAGTAAAGTTTCAGCACCTCCTTCTTCACAACCTCCATCATGTTCGGGTTGAGCCTCCGTTGGCTGTCCCGAACAGGCTTAGCACCCTCCTCCAGAATGATACGGTGCATGCACGTGGAAGGGCTGATGCCCTTAATGTCTCCTAGACTCCAGCCAATGGCCTTCTGGTTCCTCTTAAGTACCTCAATCAGCTCCTTCTCCTCTTCCCGGTTAAGCTCAGCAAAGATGATAACCGGCTTTTGCTTCTCATCATCAAGGAACACATATTTGAGGTGGCGAGGAAGTTCTTTAAGCTCTAGTGTGGGTGGGTTCGGTTTGTCGGGCTCGTCTGCTACAAAGAGCTCGATGGTTGGCTCTTCTCCCTCATCAAGATCGGGTAATGACCTTTCCTCCAGGTCTCGTACGGTCATCTCTCCCACGAACGAATCTGCTACATCAACGAAGGCACACTCCTCTACAAAGTTAACTGAGGAAGCAGATGTGGCTTCCCGAACTGAGATAGATACGGATTCGCCTAAGACGGTCATGTTCAAGGTCCCGTTATTGACATCAATGAGGGTGTTGGTGGTGGCCATAAACGGTCTGCCGAGAAGGATAGTGTGATCCTTCCCGTTTTCGTGCACATCCCCCACATCCAAGACGGCAAAATCTACCGGGATAATGAGCTTCCCGACACGAACAAGAACATCCTCAACTACCCCCTTGGGGTATCTGATCGAACGGTCAGCCAGCTGGAGGCACATTCGGGTTGGTCTCAAATCATCGAGACCCAACCGTTGAAAGATTGAGAACGGCATAAGGTTGATTCCCGCTCCGAGGTCAAGCATCCCAGAGGCTTCCTTTCCGTTTCCGAGGGCTATTTGAATCACAAAGCCTCCGGGATCTCGTTCTTTTTTTGGAAGGTCATGCTGCATAGCACTTGCAGCCTCGTAAACCACTACCTTCTCCCCGTCTCCGAATTTCCTTTTCTTCGTCACTAAGTCCTTGAAGAACTTCACATACGAGGACATACTCTTGATCACGTCCAGGAGTGGCAGGTTGACGTTGACCTTCGAGAGCATGTTGTATAGGTCCCGAAATTGCTGTTCCTGCTTCTCGTCCCGGAATCGGCTTGGGAAGGGTATGCTTGGTTTGAAGGGGTTTGGTGACTTATGTAACATTGAGCCGTCTGTCTGCTTCTTGGGTTCAGCTTCTGTGTTCTTTTTCGGGCTCTCCTCTACCCTTTTGGGCTGGTTGGCTGGTGCAAGGTCATCAGGCTCGGGCATCTTCACATGGTTGTCTACCTCTTTCCCGTTTCTCAAAACCGTGATTGCCTTGGCTTCCTTAGGCTGGCTAGGTAGCTTCCCTTTGTCTGAGTCTGCCTCCATGTTCCCAACTCTTGTAGCCAGCTGGCCCAGCTGTGTTTCCAAGCGTTTGATAGAAGCATCAGTGTTCACGCCCCTTTGCTCACTGTTTGCCATAAATTGGAGAATCTTGTCCAACTTATCGTCTTGGTTAGCTGCACTGGGTCCGGCCCCTTGTGCCTGCATTCCTCCCATTGGGCTCCTCTGCTGTTGAGGGTAGTTTGGCCTCATCTGCTGTTGGGGAATGAAGGCGGGTCGGGGCTGTTGCTGCATAAAGTTCTGCCGAGGAGGCTGCTGGATGTTGTTGTTGTTAGACCACGAGAGATTTGGGTGATTTCTCCACCCCGGGTTATACGTGTTTGAGTATGGGTCGTTGACAGGCCGATTCTGGTAGCCTTGAAGAGCATTGACATCTTCGTATTGTTCCCCATAATCTTGATCGAAAGCTGATGGGCACACCTCCGACCTGTGCCCTTGTACTCCGCATGCTCCACACGCTTCTACGGCCATGGTCTGCATTGGTTGGCCTCCCCTTGCATTCAGTAGCCGCATCTGCTCTGTGAGCTCGGCTAGCTGTTGTGCCATCATGTCTCGTCCTGGAGATACTTCATTCACAAAAGTCAGACAGACTTTCACTTCTACCGGGGCCGTTGGTTCCACTCGAGAGGAAGGAGCTTTTATGGAAGCAGCGGCTATAGGAATTTTTTCCAGCCGGTTGATGGCAATTCAAAACCTCTTACCTCGACTGCTCTTTTGAGACGAGTTACAACTCATCGCCTCAAAAATATCTGTAATATCCCATTTAGTAATTAATAAAAGTAATTATTTTAGTTCTAAGTTTGAACTAATTACTTTTATTAATAATGCTCGTTCC